AGAGAAATGATCAGACTATGAAGAAATGTATTTCTTCAAAGTGTGAACTCTGTAGTGTAAAAAAAGAATGCCAGCACGTAGACTCATCAACAAACACACACATACACACACACACATCCACACACCCACCCACACCCACCCACACACACTCATATACATTCATATATATGGTTATATAATATATATATATATATCCATACATATATATAGTTATATACATATTTGTATATACATGTATATTCATTTTAGGAGCCAGAAGGGCGATAAACTCTATGTACAATGATATGACTTATCATATGACTTATCGAGAGTGAGACGAGAGGGAGAGAAGGGGAGAGAAGTTTGCAGCAAGATATTGAAAACTCATTATTTTTATTTTTGTGATCATTCATCGAAGTGCGATAACGCATATTGAATTGGTATACGACTCATTCATTTCATTTAAATGTTTATGATTAATTTCTTATATGCTTATATTTAACAGAGCTACATTTTTGCAAAGGTATCAAACATTTTGGGTGATGGTACAAGGACCTACTCTTCAGAGTAAGTTGATTTTTTTCTAAAGTGGGGAAGTATTCAGAATTTTGCGAATTTTCATGATCATATTCACGAATTTTCTCCGGTAGTGTGAATATTCAGGACAAGCATATCTGAGGGCTATTGTTTCACTCTTTAAATTGGTACCACTTCTTTTTCCTTCTTAGCATGGACCCTAACTACAGATGGACTAATAATGAGAGTCTTTCTTTGATCACATCATGACCACCGCCACCTGAAAGTAGGGACTTTTAGATTTGCGTAGATTGATACGTGTGACGTCCACTCAAGGCAGTGCATTAAAAGGACGTCGACCGTAGCAATCCACATTGTCTTCGTGCAAATCTAAAAATCCCTACTGTGTATGTTGATGAGGACATTCATTGTAATCACGCATCATCACAGACAGAAGAACATTTTACATTTCTTCGGATTCTTTTCGCTGGGCCGGGGCTCAGAGTGTAGTTTCAGGAAAAGTATCGTGATTTAGGACCAGTTAAAGGAGCAGTGAACCCCCAAGTATGACAATTTGTGTGATATTAGATTGATTATTAAAGAAGTAGACACTGATGGATATACATCTGGACTTGCCAAAGTTTGAAAAATACATATTCTTTACTGTCCTTTTACCTTCCATTCCTTGAAAATGGATAGGATAAGTTTTAAAATGAAGTTTAAAAATAATTATTTTACAGCCAAATTGACAGGTTTCTCTTGTAAACTACTTCTAATTTCCTATTGAAAACTTCATATACGTCAATATTCATATGAACGCCACAACTGCACATGCACTTTCGTGATTTTCAACATTCAACAGCTACTGCCCTTACAAAACTTGTAAATCAATGGTCGTTAAATATTGATAACAAAGAAATTCTGGAGTTGCTTTTATAGATCTTCGTAAGGCTTTTGATACTGTTGACCATGAGCTACTTCTACATAAACTAGCTTGTATAGGTAATAGGACTATTTATTAGTTCAAATCATATTTAGGTGATCGACAACAAGTGACCCTATAGGAGCCAAGTCGCATCCATCAACCATCAAATTAGGTGGGCCACAAGGTTCAATTCTTGGTCCCCTTTTATTTTCAATATATGTTAATAGTCTACCTGAATGTACTCCTGAAGGTATCATAGATATGTATGCTGACGATACGGCACTTACCGTCAGTGTAAATGATGCAACTGTTGTGGAAGAAAAATTAACTGTTGCATTAAACAGAGTCATGGCATGGATTAAGGAATGTCGTCTCGTTCTTAACACTGAAAAAACTTGTGTCATGTTAATAGGCTCTCGTGCTAATCTTAGGAAAATTGAATCTTTCACCATTTCATTAAATGGCAATTTGATCAAAATAATTCAATTCACCAAATGCTTAGGATTTTTTATAGTTCAAGTATTGAAATGGTCTAAACAAATCGAAAACGTAGGTAAACTTACTTAGAACAAATATAAGCATGATAAAGAGAGTAAAGAGCTTTTTCCCTAAACAATCCTTAAAGTTACTTTATAAAAGTGTAGTGATGCCACGATTAGATTACTGCTCTGTTGTATGGTGGAACAGATTTCATTCCCATACAACTAAGCTGCAAAAAATTCAAAAGAAGGCCGTACAAATAATATTGAACTAGACATATGACACACCGTCGGTTGATTTGTTCACAAGTCTTAGATAGATGACACTAGACAAACGGTTTGAGTTAAGTCCCGTTATGATGATATATAAATGCGTTCATAACTTAGCACCTTCTTACCTTCAGGCGGGCTTAATCAATCCTAATGATGTACATGAGCATCATACAAGGCAAATAGACAGTGGATGTTTACGTGTGCCTAGATTTCACACGGATTGTTACAAATGTAGCCCAATTGTTTCTTCTATTTTGAATGGACTAAGCATGATAATTCGATGAGAACGGCTTCCTCTGTCAATTCATTTAAGAGATTGTTTAAACAAAGTTGTAATTTGTGAATGGCCAAGCAGGACATACACTACGTGTATGTTTTTTAATATTAACATGACTTATTCACATAATTGCGACTTAATCAATATTTTCTTATCGAAATTACTGTTGAACTAGGTTAATGATATATCTTTATTTTACAAACGAGTATCATTCTTGCCACGTCTATTATTGCTGTATCCTTTCTTCCTAAATGTACTATGGAATTTTATTTTAACTGTTCTGTATATACGTTATGCTTTTAGATGTAAATATGTTCATATTTATTCAGGGCCCCATGGAAGACCACTTCTTATTGGTGAACGGGCTACCCTGACAAAAGATTAGAAATGAATAAATTAAATTTGAAAAATTAGCGATTCAGTTTCTTTTGCGCAGGCATTTTGTAGAGTTCCAGGCACAGTTATGTATTTTGTTATGGCTGACTGGCGGCGGTCGTGAAGAGATCGAAGCTTGGAAGCTTGTTTGGAATGTCATTATGATACTTTTTGACAGAGTCAGGTGCATGCATGTATTATGGTACCGATCAGTGTCCATTTGTAGTAGGTCCATGTTCTTAGTAATGCCGCCAATTTAGGGATTTCCATTCTACTCTTCCGTCAATGAAATGTCCTTGCTTTCAATGCTATTTAAGTAACCATTTGGGGAACAACTGTCGCTGAAATGTTTTGCTTCGTTTGCTCGAAGGAAGCTTTCCTAGTTCCTTTGGATTATTCATCAGCTTTCGATAACATAGCACGTACATCTACGAGCATTTTTGTACGATATAAATGATTTTAGTAAGTGCGTTGATCACTTTACCTGGTCAGCTCTCAATGGGTGGTTGTGGAAGTTAGATTCTAGAAAGAATTGCTTGGTCTTCATATTGATTGTAAATTATCAGGTAAAGTCCAAGTGAAAATAACTAGCGTGTAAATTACAAGCGGTCGAGTGTAATTTATCATTTAAAAGCGTGTCAATTATATCGTTGGGCATCGCAATTTAACGTCTTACCTTCTACTTTAAAATGATCCCAAATTTACAATGAATTCAACAGGTTATTAAATAAGCATAGGCCTACGTTAAAAACGATCTCCCTTTAAAATAGAAGAATTTTTATATTGATCAATAATAGGGTGGATACGGGTACTGGGTTTTGCTCTTGGGTGGGGGAGAGCAGGATACTGTGTAACGACGTTGTTTGTATATGATACTCATATGTTAAGAACCTTCATTTGTGATATATCATTTTCTCTCTTTTGTTTGTCTTGTAAAATGGACCCCTCGGTAGAACAGCTGTGCTGCACTGGAACAGCTGAGCAGGGCGATCCATCCAATGTTATTTTCCCACGTTATCTTGTTTATTTTATTTATATGTTTTTATATTTGGTAAATCAAATCAAATCAAATTACTATGCTTACACGATGTGCGCGCCGAGCGGGGGAACAGAGATTCATAAATGATTGTGCATTTGTAAAGAGTAGACATTAACATTTACGTATTTTTCGCGCGACGGAAAGATGAAGGCGCTCATGTCACGAATATTCACTAGCAAAAACGCCAAACACAGAACCTGTCTCATGAAAATGCATCTGTATAGAAATTGAACAGAAAAAACTGGTCAGATTGAAGAGTGTCAGGTTGGTCAGAAAGCAGTGGTACAGTAAAGGAAACACCCTTTTTTCGATATGAATTCATCTATTTATTTGTGTATGCTTAAAGCGATGTGAAAATAGAAGTTGTATGCATTAGAAATATAGACGAATTAATCTCTGCATGCATATAAAGCATATACCTCTTTAACCACCCATGAAACACGCACATCTGATGGAGCTATTTTCTCTGACATTTCCCTCTTTTACACTTAAAGGGACTTGGTAACATTGTTCAGATGAGATATTGTGGTGCTAAGGTAGTGACTTCAATGCTAGATGTACAATTAAAGATAATCTGACAATTTGAGAGAAAACGGATCATTATTCATGGTATAAATTGGGGAAAACTGATCTGATCGATTCCTTAATTCTCCCAACTATATTATTACAATTCAATTACATTTTAGGTGAAAGAAAATCGTCACAAAGCAATAAAATGGCTTGACATTCCATTCCAAACATTTAAGTGGTGACAGATTTTGTATAGCCTGTTTTATGTCTCTTTTCATGGAAAGACGGTTGGGAAAATTCAAAAATGGTTGGGATAATTTACTGTTAATCACTGTTAGAGGGTGTCATACATCGACTCATTCACAGAAAACCATAGATATCTTCGTGGTTTGGGAATTTTTTCAGGATTTTTTGCATGTCAGAGGGTTAGTACAGTAAAAGGAATATAGTAAGTAACATTTTATACAAAAATTATTAAAGCAATTTTTTCATCAACCTTCAACATTTTACCAAGTCACTTCATTTGTTGAACGGACTAACATTTTCTCAACAACCGTAGATCCATTTCAAGGGGCAACGCCAACCACTAGCTATTACGGTGGAATCTATAGCGTACGGCTCGTGAACGGTCCATCGCCCAGTGAAGGAAGAGTAGAGATTTGGTACAATGGCCAATGGAACACTATCTGTGATGACAACTGGAATCTTGAAGAAGCACAGGTTGTTTGTCGTCAGCTTGGCTATAGCACTGATTATGTTGTACCAAGGAGTTATGCCTACTATGGTCAAGGATCAGGACCGATTCAACGAGCTCAATGTGATGGTTGGGAGTATACCTTGGATCAATGTACTCTGTATTCAGGGGATTCCATATGTGGCCATTATGAGGACGCAGGAGTAAGATGCGGTAAGCTGAATTATACTTACTGTTCGCAAGACGTAATTAATACCCCCTTCACATACACGAATTTTTCTTACGAGTCCTTACGCATCGCCAACTCGCAGTAAATCGCAAGAATCCGTTAATAACTCGCTGGTATCAGTAAATAACTCGTCACAACTCGCAACAACTCGTAGACGCTCTTTAGGATCCGTGAAAGGAGGGGCAAATTTTTTGACATGTCAAACATCTTCTTACGATTGTCCACGGATTGATTTGTCCGTAAATAGCTCGTAAATAGCTCGTAACAATCCGTAATCATCCGTACACCTCTCGCAACAACACGTTTCCATCAGTAAACTGCTCACAAGAATCCGTAAATGACTCGTAACAGATTTTTGTAACGTTTCGTTACGGTTAGCTTACAATTTGTTTACGAATTATTTATGGATTATTGCGAGCAGTTTACAGATGGTTACGTGTGCTTACGTGTTGTTTACGATTTTATTCGGGTCATTTTAAGATGGCTTTACGGATTGATACGGGATATTACGAGCATTTAAGGTGTAATTACGAGTACTTTACGAATAGATACGTATACTTTACGTATGCTTACGAACTGTTTACGATTTTGGGAAAGGTATAAAAGCTGCAAATTCGAACTCCTCAGTTGTTATTTTTTGGCTAAAAATCGTAGGGATTCGTTAACACTCGTAACTTACTCGTAACTATTCGTAACAAATCGTGGACTGTTGCCGTAAATGCATCGTAATAACTCGTAATAATCTGTAATAAACCGCAAAAAGCTCGGAATAACTCTTAAACCGGTCGTAAAAGTGGCCAAATTGTAAGGATCCGTGAAACATCCGTGAATTGTGCGATCCGTAAGGACTCGTAAGAAAAAACCGTGTATGTGAACGTGGTATAAACAATGCTATTTCACCAGTATTCGCATCGTTTTATTCATATACGCATGCATCTAAGTATTTATTTTTTTGTTAGCGGTTAATAAATAAACTTTTTATAAATTAGAAATATAATTTAAATAACCTCTGCAAGCATAAGAAGCTTTAGTTTTAACCAGCTATAAAACACGCACATCTGACGGACCAATTTTCTGTTTCCTTCTTTTCCACTTAATGTTGTAGGGATTGACATTTCCACAATGACCGTAGATCCATTACAATGGTCAACGTCAAACACAGGATATTATGGTGGAATCTATAATGTACGTCTTGTGAATGGTCCATCGCCCAGTGAAGGAAGAGTAGAGATTTTATACAATGGCCAATGGAACACTATTTGTGATGATTCCTGGAATCTTGAAGAAGCACAGGTTGTTTGTCGTCAGCTTGGCTATAGCACCGATAATGTCGTAGCAAGGAGTTCGGCCTACTATGGGCAAGGTTCAGGACCGATTCAACAAGTCCAGTGCTCTGGGTCGGAGTATACCTTAGCGTCCTGTACTCTGACTTCAGGAGATTACGCATGTGGCCATTATCAGGATGCAGGAGTAAGATGCGGTAAGCTTATATAGACATTTCTTTTTTTCTGCCTTGCATTGGGTAAGATTTGTCAAATTTACGAGCAGATATATAGGCAAGAGGTGTAACAAGGATTGGGTATTCGCATCCAATAAAAAAGAGAGATGTTCTAATCGTATTTCATCCTCGCCATCTCTATGAGTGCACAATAAAGGGAATTCATGTTCTCATAAGTAGTGTAGCGGGGGTCCGGCCATCGAAGCCTGGTGCACTAGGGTCGCGGGGATTGGGACACCGGTCCAACTTGGTGAATGGAGGTCGAAAGAACAAGACCGTCGAGTATTGTTATTGTTAGGATGTGAAAGTGATGTTATTATTATAGTTATTGCTGGTGGAAAGCATATATTTCCACACTTGTGAACAAGAATGAGTACATTTTCGAACTATTAAATATGTCATACAGATGTTCGTGAAATATAGTACACAATAATTCGCTGATTGAAGGAAAGACGGCACGTTCAATTTCCTTATTATGAAACAAAAAATCGGTGCACTCGGTTATATTTCATTAAGTGAACTATTTTATTTTTCAAGAAAGAGTAAGAGAATTTGAAGAAAGTATTGATTGGTAAAAATTTGTGAGGGGGACTTTCAAAAGTAAAAATAAATATGTAAATGTACCACCTCGTTTTACTAATGATATTTCACCAGTATTCGCATTTTCGTATTCATATATGCATACATCTAAGTATTTTTGTGTGGTTGTAGTGGTTTCAAACTAGAAGTTTTGTGCATTAGAAATGTAACCAAATTAACCTCTGTTAGCAATAAAACAGATTCTATGACTCAGTTTCTAGTGATACATTAGTTGAAATATTTGAGATGTTCACTTTATTGTTGAAGGGACCGACGTTTCCCCAACCTTAAATCCATTTCAATGGCTAACGACAACCACAGGCTATTACGATGGAATCTTTAACGTACGGCTCGTGAATGGTCCATCGCCCAGTGAAGGAAGAGTAGAGATTTCATACAATGGCCGATGGAACACTATCTGTGATAATAACTGGACTCCTGAAAGAGCGCAGGTTGTATGTCGTCAGCTTGGCTATAGCACCGATAATGTCGTAGCAAGGAGATCGGCCTACTATGGGCAAGGTTCAGGACCGATTCAACAAGTCCAGTGCTCTGGGTCGGAGTATACCTTGGCGTCCTGTACTCTGACCTCAGGGGATTCCGTATGCAGCCATAATGAGGATGCAGGAGTTAGATGCGGTAAGCTTATACAGACATTTCTTTTTTTCTTTCTTGCATTAGGTAAACTTTATGAGCAGATACATGAGTCAGGGGTGTAAAAAGAATTGAGTATTCGCATATAATATGAAAGAGATATATGTTAATCGAATACCCCCCCCCCCCCTCCCGATATCATCCTCGTTATCTCTATATGTGCACAATGAAGGAAATTAATCTTCTTAAGAGTGACGGCACGGGGGTCCGGCCATTGACACCAGTTGCACTGGTGTTATGGGATCACGAGGTTGGTATATAGACACCGGTACAACTTGGTGAATGAAAGTCAAACAAGAACAACACCATCAAGTATTGTGAGAATGTGACAGGGGTGTTATATATTATTTTATGTTGCCTTTATTTCTTTTCTGGCTGCCTTTTTCCCATTTGATCGGGGGCACCTAGGTGCGCCATTTGGGTCTTCACATGAACCGCACCTTCTGATGAAGGTTTTGTTCCTTTTTATTAGACTACAAAACCAGTTAGTCATCTTGACTTATTATCAATCATCCTTTCAATATTCGTTTACTCGGGTAACTGTCTTTTGGGGTTGATCTTGATAATGAAATTCTATATTGTCCTTTGTACGACATCCTACAATTTTTTAGAATAAACAAAACCTCGTGGTCTGTTCTCCATTCACAAATTTATTCACAGAGCTAATGTGGCGTAAGGGTTGTGTATTGTATTATCCCATAATTATAATGCTTATTCAAGTCATAGTGGAGGTGTGTAGGGGTATAGGAGTTAATTCACTTAACTCTCAATCCAAGAATAGTGATGCTTCAAATTCCAGCCCGTCACTTAGGTTCTCAGGCAAGACACTAATCCACTTATGCCATTATCCACCTTGTTGTAGATGGGTACCCAGCAACTACTGGGCTAGTAATAATTGCAAAGCCTGCAGGAAAAGCAGTTTTAATACCAATGTGGCTCCCTTTTCTCATTTATTATTTTAAATATTATGATAGGTTACACAACAATATCAGGAACATCAGGAGCATCTCCTCGGGTAATCGGATCGATGTCATTCGTCGGAGTGTCCTTGTTTCTCCTAACCATCATCGCTATAGTTGCTGTTGTGTTCGTGTGCAATCAACAAAAGATTTCTCCTTCAGCAGCTATGGGAGTTCAGTTATCTTCTCTTACCACTCAACCTGCACCTCAACCAGCATCAACCACGCCCATGCCTGCATCCGTCTGTGTCGATGTACCTGTTTAGAGGGTGGACGGAAACCCAAGTCAGTTTGTTAGAATCCACCTGTCATTCTTTAGGTGTGCCTCACTTGGAGAGACCTCACATTCTACTTTCTTTTTTTCTTAATCCATGCTATCCATTTCCTATATCTTCATCTGCATCCACCTCTTCTTCCTTTTCTTCGTGTTATTATTATTAGTAGTAGTAGTAGTAATAGTAGTAGTAGTAGTAGTAGTAGCAGCAGTATTAGTAGTAATAGTAGTAGTAGTAGTAGTAGTAGTAGTAGTATTAGTAGTATTAGTAGTAGTAGTAGTAGTAGTAGTAGTAGTAGTAGTAGTAGTAGTAGTAGTCATTTGGCATCACTTGTGGCTTGGAGGGTGAAAGCGCACTGAATCAATGCGACCGTAGGGTCTTTCCTCAAGGTATAACTGATAATGGGGATATGTGGAAATGGCCAACAACATCATTAATAATAATAATAATAATAATAAGATATTTGTATACCGCAAATTGCAAATTGCCTCTAAGCGGTTTAGAAGAAAAGAGCTGATAATTAAAGGAAACAGAAATTGCATTACAAATTATATCAATTTAAATTACCATTAAAACTTTGCAAATGAAAATAATACATGTACATAATTACAAATCACTTACAACCAAAATACAAACAGTTCATAAATTAATAGTATCCTACGGTAATCTACACAAAGTATTTAAAAAGGCAAAAGGTCAAAAGAGCTATTCAGGAACAAGACTTAAAGAAATGTGTTTTTCGCATTGTTTTAAATGTATTTTCATTGTACTCTTTTTTTTTTTTTTACTTTTCTCTCTCTCTCTCTCTTCTAAGTATCACCCACTTCTCATCTTCACCCTCAATTCCTTCCATGTTCTCTCTCTTCTTTCCGTTTCCCTTTGTTCTCCTTTCTCTTCTCTCTTAGTATCTACTTTGCTCACCTCTGACGCATTCATTATTTCATTTTTTTTTAAATAAGAGATAGAGCGTAAAACACTCTGTGAGATTGAATATTGAGCAATAAATTATCTAGCAATAAAACAACAGATACAACAAAGATGTTGTTTGTTATAATATTCTGATTTATTTTGGTTTCACTAAATATGATTTATATGTATTCAATATTTGACATAAAACAATGAAAGAAATTAGTACAAAAAGTGTATATTAAAAAAGACAAAATACATGTAAAAATATTGAAAACCTAAAACTGAAAATGTTGGCCTACATATATGTATACGTTGAAACGGTACTCAGATTTCAGTTGTATATACTTATACATTGTACTATCTCACAAAATAATCCAGTATATTATTTTAAATGGTCACTGCTATTTGTCAATGGTTTCATTAGAATCGTGGTAGATTTGTTGAGTGTACGTGTGTACATTATGACTACTGAAATAATAATTGGCATGCATTTAAAAAAAAATATTTAAAAAAAAGTTCCATCTTCAGTTGAATACGCATGTAGCATGTCGAATTAAAAAATCAACAAATGGTAAATCGAAATAAACTGTTGTTTAGAGTATATATATTGTAAGTAAATCTGCTTAGCCTCTCATTTCTCATCTATACCTTACTGTTATCGCAGAATACCATTCATAAAAGGATGTTCTATATTTCAGAAATATTGATACATCTCGTGCAAATATTATTTATTCAAATCATGCGTAGCTATATACCCATTATACAATATATCTTGTCTTTTTCACCCAGCGTTCAAACAGACTTAAATCATGGATTAATAATTGTGCCTTATCGCTCAATTGGTTATTCAAATCACATGCGTGACTTTACACAGAGTACATAAATATATATATATATTTATATATATATATATATATATTCATATTTATATTTATATTTATCATTCAATCAAACCCTTGTTCTGATTTGTTTAAAATGATATGAGTTTTAATTGTATTTATTTTTTAAAAAGGCGTGTGTTCTTATTTATTTGAAATTTGATGTGTTCAATGAAATGATCGAATGTAATCCACTATGGACTTTGATTGTCATTTATTTAATTCCGATTATATCTGATATCCAAAAGCCACGTACGTGTACGTGTGAGTCCTGGCATAAAAACGTGATCCGATGTAGATATATTACGTATTCATAAATTTGGTTCAGCTTTCGTAATTTGCTGGTGAAACAAAAGCTGTGTAGGCCTACTCATCTACAAATACATTTTAATTAACTTAAGGTAGTGAAATTAATAACAAATCTTTTTCTTTTTTGAGGTTGTTCATCTTTTAATCTTTGCTGCATTGACCTTATTATATATGTCATGATATTTGAATTAATTGTATGACTAAGAACCTTCTAAAGACTAGATTATATTTCACGCTATTTTAATTAATTGTATGACTGAAACTTTCTGAAGACCAGATTATATGTAATGATAATTTAATTCATTGTATTGCTAAGAACTAAGACTAGATTATATGTCATGATATTTTAATTAATTGTATGACTACGAACTTTCTGAAGACTAGATTATATGTCATGATATTTTAATCAAGTGTATGACTAAGAACTTTCTGAAGACTAGATTATATTTCATGATATTTCAATCAATCGTAAGACTAAAAACTTTCTGAAGAGAGTTTGAACCACTTTTTTTATCTTTGTTTAGTTTCACTATAATCATAAATCATATTATGTATATAAAGCAAACATGTTATATGTATATTCTTTAAATGGTGGTAGTTTCCAAAGCTTTGTATGGCATAATAACTTTTGTTTGCAAACTTACTTTATGATAAATATGATATTTTCGCATCACGTTTTAAAACTCTGCACACTATAATGTACCTCGGAATCTTTGCTGTTCTATTAACATGATTAAAGAGACGTTCGGAAAGGAAGGTACCGATAAGAAACAGACCTAGTGAGTGTCCGATTGTATACTGCAACATGCAATTGTTTCTAGCCATATTTTTTCAAAACTGTAACGCTTTAAAGGTAGCTTCTACATGCTTTTCATGTTTTAGTTTTGAATTCATATCTTTTCAAAGACTTTATTATAATTGTATTGCTCACGAGCTTGCAAATATATTCACTGTGTACATTTTTACATTTAGGATACCATTTGATATTTCTCATCTACGTCCCTAAGATTATAATATTTGATTATGTTCATTACAGTGGCGGCCTCAGTATTTCGTTGGCGAGGGGTATAAAACATAACCAAAACAGAAAAAGAAAAAGGCATCATTTTCAGGGGGCTATAGGGTGAGGAACTGTTGCCGGATGCCCGATAAGGGGCACATTTCATTTCATTTTATTTTTATTTAATGTCTGGGGAGTCTTATGCCCGATGACCCCCCCCCCCCCTTCCTCCTCCTGAAGATCCGCCACTGCACTCTTTGTAGAAAAGGAAAATAAAATATAAACAAGAATGTGTTCTCTTTACTTTGTAAACTTTAGTGAAACCTGTGTATAAAGCCCACTGAAGTGGGACACGCATGTCGTTGGTCTTCCTGTTCAGGTTACTTTAATGAAGTTACATTCACCACCGCTCAAAGAACACAAAAGGGTGGTCTTCGATACACGTGTGTTCGCTAAAGCCGTTTTGAGATTAAAATCTTCATTAATGTAAATGAGTTAACACTTCTTTTACGCAATTACGCAGAAAGATAATACAAAATTACATTTTCAGTATAAAGATGACAATGCGTTGTCCTTACTTACTTTGTTAAAGTTTAGAAACTATTACTAAAATTACGCAGAAAAATGTGAAGGGGGAAACCAAGGTATTTTATCAATATTGTAACTTAAGGCGCAGTTGTCTTTATTTTCACATTCGCGAGCCCCATATCTCGAACGTCATTCTGCTTTTGATGTGCGTGTGTGTGTGAAAGTGTATGTGTGTGTGTGCAACATTAAAAAAGGCCAGTACAATTTTTATTAACGCCACATTATGGCATTTCAGCAAAGGCTTCAAATATAAGCTGTCGATATGTATGCCTTGCTGAAATAACATAATATTCTGTGGAAGAACAAATTCACGTTTGAAATACATCAATGATTTTGTTTCTGTGTGTGGAAAAACTCGTGTCTTCATATGCTTTCAGCAACAGACTATTAAATTTCCGACGTATTGTTTATTACGATCGACATATTTTAATCATCAAAATAGATATTCGATACATAAAATACTCTCTGGCTTTCAAAGTGCAAATCTATGCCCACCTAGTATATTAGGATTTGCCAGGTTTTAAATGCTCCTGGTAGTTGTTTTTTCATGGGGGATTCGAAGCCATTTATTTATTTATTCAGTTATCAAAAGCAGGGTAGCTCATTAACAATTCCAGTCTATCATGAAGCCATGTACAGAAAAAGAGAGCAATAAATAAAAATTTATAGACTAACAAAGTATTTAAGTATATACAATAAAAACATGGCAAAATTTTGAGATCACGAAAGCAAATTCTATTGATCAGTGAGCGAGCAAATATAAAAGTCAACTGTGGAAGTACTAGGACGGTATTCGGGTTTATCTTAGACTTTTGAAGTAGTAGGAGAAGTACATGAATCAAGATTCTCATAAATGGCTTTGCTACCACAGAAGTTGTGAAAGAAAGCTACAGAGCTTTTAAAGGATCTTCCTCTCTTTAACATTAAACAATAGTAGAATTGGAAACACAGTAAACGCTGAAAAATACGTTCGATTTTAAGCTTGAAATATTTCATCAGATAAGATCAACTAGAGTGATATGATATCTTTAGAAACGAACATGAGCCCGTTTGTAATATAAGACCTGTTTAAAGAAGTACAGGCGTCTTAACAGTGATCACTATAGGTGAACAGGCAAAACCTCATTGCAAAGTAAGGATTTGGGAACAGGCAGTCACATGTTGCAATAACTGTCTATTTTCTTATTACGGTTTTGTACTGGCAGCTTATTGTAAATTTAAACAACTTAATCATTTCTAGAAAACATGTATGATGGCCGCCTAGTTGAAGGAGGTCATCCTAACGGTGGCTGTGTAGAAATATACTACTACTACCAATAGAATACCATGGGGTGTTTCACAAAACTTGTCATCAGTGACAAATGACAGTTGTTGTTTTAAGCTACTGAAATCCTTGCTTCTGATTGGTTATCAGCATATTTGTCTCTGATATTTGTCATTTGTCATTGGAAAAAGACTTTGTGAAACGGGTCCCATATGGGATGATCACTTTGGTCATGATGATGCGCAGGTTGTGTGTCGTCAGCTTGGTTACGGCATGGAGGCTAGTTTACTCCATGATGAGAGCTGGGAAGGGGTGGTGCATCCGGGTTACATAAAAATCTTCCCCGTCTGATCGGGCATTCCTGACGGCTAGCAAGGGGTGATCGTGGCAACGCAAAGGGGACATTCGTTTACGAGAAGGGGTTTCTAGCCGTGGTTTAACCCTTCTCTGGCTACATGATTGGATTTCACATATTTTGATTTTAAGGTTAATGTATGGGGTGCAGATTACATTTATCACATGATTCCTAATTTTTTCAGCTTAGATTCCAGCATTAGTTCTGTAATTGGGTAAGATACTCAAATCTGTGTGTAATGCCATTGTAATATTGGCGTAAATCCATGTACCGCCATGGTAAAATGATATATGTAGAAATGACAGAATCCCATGTTAAATGAAAGCCACGAAAAATGCATAAATTGAACGGTTTGTCGTTTCCTCTTATATCAGCCGTGAATAATGAACATATGAAATCCCTTATATCTAGTCAACAGTTTTCACGTTCAGTTCAATCCTATATGCCTCTCGTAAGTAAATCTACTCGAATAACAAGGACAACAGCCTCGCTCATGGATAATATATTTACAAAATATGTATGTTCAAGCTATTCCTATTATCATAATCTCAATTATAATTTACCATTTCCCAATTTATTCTTACTTACCTGTCTTACTTACCTTACTTTGTGTACCAAAAACCAATACTATATTCTATGGGGGCAGATCATTTGCAGTTGCTGGACCAAACCTTTGGAACAATCTCCTCAATTTCATACGACAGGCACCCACTTCTGCAACATTCAAATCTTCACTAAAAACGCACCTCTTCGGCCTTAATTAATTAGTTTAAGCTATCCTTACTTACGTTCTTTGTTTTGTTTTGACTATGTTAGCTATCTCTTTGTTATGTTATTTACTATGTTTAGTTAGTCATTTTAGTGGTATAAGATTTGTATATTTCTCTGTGTTGATTCATTTTATGTGATTATATATATGCTTGTACAGCGCAAAGAGAAACTTATGTTTATTTTGCGCTATATAAATATTGTATTATTATTATTATTATTATCTTGTAATTACCTTAAACACGGAAAGGTTCTAATCCAGTGTCGTAAGTTAACTTGTAAACATATTGATAAATTTAAAGAAACCTAAAGTTTATTTGAGACCGCGATCTCCATGGATAACAAAATCCCTTTAACGTTCAATTAATAGGAAAAATCGCTTATTGTACAAATTCAACTCCTAGCCAAAAGAGTCAAACGAAAAACAAATTAAGACTTATAACAAATACATTTTTTTTTTGGTGAGCCGAGTGAGCGTCAAGACAGCTCCTCACGGTGCTCCCAAACTTGTTATGTTTTTCGTCGTTAAGTTTGTACTTTTGGTATTACTCTATATAACCAACAGAAGTATTTGGTTTCTGGAACACTTTGGCGCTATAATGATTTAAATCATTGAACTGGTCCATTGTGTTGTGTTTGTTTCTTTTCTTTTGTTCGAAAATGTTGTAACTTAATTCATCTTGTTTCGATTAGGATTGTTTGTTTTCAATATGTTTGTTAATTTTGTATTTATGTTGTAGGGCCTCCACGGAAAACAGTATTGAACTACTGATGGAGCCACCCTACTAAAAAAAAAAACTAATAAATAAATAAATAAATAAATAAATAAATAAATAAAATAAATACACAAGTTAGTATTTTACGTTATGCAAAAAAACTTCTTTAAACAATTTTAATTTCATCGAAATGACATTAAAAACACTTGAAAGCTAATCAACCATGCACTTAATAAAAACATCAATAAGCAGGATATTCATGAGATTTTATTCGGAAACACATGCTTTCAAGAAACAGCTTTTTATTTGCTGATAGTCTCAATGATTAGTTCGAAAATATAGGGCTAAATCTTGCACAAGCCATCCTCACTTCAAATCATTCATTTCATTCATTTCTTGATCGTCGAAATCCTGAATCATTTTTGGGGTCTCGGTACAAGAGGTAGAGGTTATTGATATTGTTAACAATTTAAAGAGTAAAAAGAGCGCTCGATATGATGGTATTACAAATAATAATAATAATAATAGAGCATATTTATATAGCGCATAATAAATTGTAAATTTCTCTATGCGCTTTACAGTTTTGTACAGTCATAACAATTAGAATATATAAACAACACTAATACAACAATAATTAACAAAATAGATAGCAAATGACAAATTCACTACTTAAACATATTATTTCCGAAATAGTTATCCCACTAACCCGTATATGTAACCTCTTTTTTTACATGTGGTGACGTACCCTTTTTCATTAAAAGAGCAAAAGTAATACCTGTATTTTTAAAAAATTGGCTGACATGAACAGGGAAATTGTAAGCCAAACTCTTTACTTACCTCTTTTTCCAAAATATTAGAAAAACTTATGTATACACAAACCATGAGTTTCCTTCCAAAAACAATTTACTTATGCTGTTCAGTATATTTTTGGACAGAAATACGCCACAAGACATGCTATATTAACACTCATTAATAAAATTGTTAGTGCAACTGATAATTCTTGTCACACAAATTTTAGACTTCTCAAAGGCCTTCGACACAATTTACCATGAACGCTAACTTTTCAAAATTAACAGTAAAATCGCCCCACATCTCTGATCCGTCTTAAAATATTGGTCTTACAAATGAGTCAAATAATCGTTTCGCCATTCTAATATTAGGGAGGCTATACCCACATGATTTAAACAATCTAAACAAAACTCTTTGTCTTTTTATCAACTAAATTCGTCATTGAGTAACTGTTCTCTTTTTTTAACTAAAAGGTCAAATACTACTTGAGGTAAACAAATCACCATCGATTTTTATGTTCTTTCTCAGTCCATTATCTATTTATTTTGTGATAAGGAGAACATCTCTTACAGCATGCTCCTGTACTAGACATGGTGGTCATGTTTAACGGGTTTTCAAAGTAGAGTTTAAGGTAGATTTTGTCTTTGATCCACCAGCTTAAGTGTAATCCTACAGCATGCTTGTATATTATACATTACTAGCAGAGGACCCGCTGAAATCCGCGGGATTCTGGAGGGGGGCGGGGTGTCAATAGATGTATAGAGACACTCTAAATTAAAACCACCAAGAACTTTATTTGCCTTTTTTTTTTTTACCGATCCAATTCTACCGGTAGTTATTCTATGAGCCTCTTTCACACTGGAACTGCGTAGAGTTACGTAGTGTGCCGTACCCACTACGCAGAAATTAGGCTGCGTATTAATGGAAAAATGTTGCTTCACTGTAGTCCCTGCGTCGGTTATGCATAGGCTGGCGTACAGGTTTGATTATGATTGCTTACGGTTGTTTACTGTGTGGAAAGCTTTTACTGCTTTGTCGATCTGGCGTAGGGTAGCGTACTGTTGCGTAGGCATGGCGTACAGTAGCGTAGTGTTGCGTGAAAAGGCGTACTTTCTGCGTCAGGTTTCTACGCCGAAAGTACGCGAAAAAAAGTTTAACATGTTGAATTGTTTGCGTCCATCAGCATAATTATACTAACGTAGGCCAGCGTAGTTGGTACCCAACACTACGCAACTCTTCATTTAGACCCCACGCCAATTAGTGACCTGCCAGTGTCACAAATAAAGTATTAAAAATATGCTCATCTGACCCTAATTAAATGCCTAAAACCCGTGAGCTTTCGGTCGGCGATCTCATTAAAAAAAAAAATATAATACAAAGGCTCGAGGAGACGTCATGCCCCCCGCGGACTCTTAGCGTAGACGTCATTCCCCCCCCCCCCCCCCCCCCCCGCGGAGTCTAAGCGTATTACTTACTGTGATGATGGTCATGTTTAGCGGGTCTTTAAAGTAGAGTTTAACCCTAATAAGGCCGCGGGGGCATTATGCCCCCCCCCCCTTCCGCTGTTTTTCTGATTGTTCGGGAAAGCATACGGATGGCGCCCCGCCGCTCCAGGACTTTTTTCTTTCGAGTCTTGCGCATCTTTTAAAACAATAATTTGAAAACCGGGGGTACAGTTACAAAGTTAAGTGACCTTTTGTCTTTGCATGTCGGCCCGAAAATCGCTCATTTTCGTGATTTGGGTACACAACATAATTATGGAAATGTCATTTTTTTTTTCCTAACAAGAGATAAAACATTGGTTATTGGGTCTTGTTTAAAGTTTAGGTGTTTGTTTTGGGAGTCAAAATAGTTAAATTGTAGTTAGAAATAATTTTAAAAAATAAATAATAACATACATAAGTTGAAAAAACATTGAAACACATAAGAAAATATCGAAACAAGAGAAACAAAAGGAATAACCTAGCTCTTCCAAATTTGTTGTCGTATTGTTGTTTCATATGGTCTAACGAATACATTTAGTGAAAAAGGATGCTTAAAATAAAGAATATATAATTCATGGGAAAAAATATAAATTTTATGACCATTTTAGCAAAAATTACCATAATATGCAAATGAGGGAATTGGTGGTGGTCATGTTTAACGGGTCTCTAAAGCAGAGTTTAAGGTAGATTTAGTCTTTAAACCTACAGATGAAGTATAATCCTACAGCATACTTGTGTACCAGACATCGTGGTCATGTTTAACGGGTCTATACAGCTGAGTTTCAGGTAGATTTCATCTTTGAACCGACAGATTAAGACAGTATATTCCCTCTTTTTAATATGTTCGTGTCTGAGACATGGTGTTTATGGTACGGATCTTTAGAGCAGGGTTTGTGGTAGATTGCGTACCACCACTTTGAGTACTTCTACATCATGCTCGTGTTTCAGACACCGCGGTCGAGAAACGGGTCTTTTGCGTAGGGCTTGAGGTAGATCTCGTCTTTGAACCACCACATATTGCGATGAAGGTATAGAGATATGGATTGATGGATGCGTTGATAGGCAAGATAAAGACAATGCTCCAGGCGTAGAGGGATACCGGGAGGGTGACAGCACCTGTTTGCGAAAGGATACCCATGATGATCACCGGCATCCAGCAAAAGAAATCCGTCAGGACAATGATAGACATGCGTGTTGCCAGCTTCACTTCCCGGGCGCGGTCACTGCTACCCGAACCGCTTGCCGGATTGGCCACACTGCGTGCCGACTTGCGAACGTGAACGAATATGACGACATAGGAGAGCAGAATGAGGATGAAAATCAAGAAATTCACACCGAGAAAGATGGCGATTGAGTACACCCAACTTGGTCTCTTTGTTGTTTCATATTTGAGGTATTCCCACACCCTTCTCTCGTAATTATATACTAATTCTCCAGTCTCTGTTGACTCGACATTGAGTGGTAGTCCAACACAAACATCTGACAGGCCGTAGAAACCGCTGATGTAGGAGCTAACAATCAAAGGAACAATGCTCACTACAACAGCAATGGTCCATATAAGCGCCACTCCAACGCGAGCAGAAGTAGCCCGAAACTTCAGTTTTCCAAAGGGGAACACGACGCTAAGGACTCGATCTATCGTAATGATCGCAAGTACGAATACGGACGTTTCGCTGGATAGAACAGCGATGAATCCTGCGACTTTGCAAGTGACCGATCCACGCCATTGCTCTGCGAAGAGGTAGAAATAATCTCCGTAGTACACATCTGCTGACGCTATTATAATCATGTAGATTCCCATCAGGAAATCTGCTATGGCCAGGTTGGAGATGAACAGTCCCTGAGTCTTTGCGCTGACTGAATGATCGGTACGACACCTAAAGACAAGAACTATGGTATTGCCGATGAGGGCGCCCCACCCTATGACCCAAAGGGTTACCCTTAAGATTGTGTTTGGCATAAGACGGGAGCAGGAGTCCAGGAAGTTCGAGGAAGCAATGCTGCACAGATCTGTCTCGTCGAACAAACAGCAAAGCCTGTAGTCATCAGTCGACCTGAAAGATGTACACAAATATTTGCAATAAACAATGTCTCCGATGGATTTGTTTGTTCGGGCGGTTATGTGCCAGAGCAAGGAGGAAACTTCTTATTTGTTAAAGGGCTGTATTTGATGGTGTACGTAAATAATCAAAGTTTCCGTCAACTTTGTTCAAAGTAGAGTGAGTCCAGCGTTACTGAAATTAAGAATAGCACAATAATTTACATCATGATTGTGATACTGGGAATTGTGGTCTGAGTAAGATTTCTTGGGAGGAAAAATGCAGAATCATGTATGCTAGGTTTACATTATGTTCCCAGCGGCAACGGCAATCACGTTTCAGGCTACCTTGGACAAAACGGGTTGGACGTGAGACAACGCGAGGGGATGGAATGGGCAAACGTGACAGGCCGTGATTGCCGATGATGCCGGGCAAGATTTTAAAATTGAATACAGGCCAAAGGGGGGGTGGGGTAAGGGGGTAGTGGTATGAATAATTGGGATTACGTCAGATACAGTTATACATGTAAATGTCATTATTGAAGAAGTCGTAACTTACAAGCCTTTGAGGGAGGTAATCCCTTGAAAGGTATCTGGTTCGAGATTTGCCAGTTGGACATTCACCAAGTTTCTATGGAGAGAGAGAGAGAGAGAAATAGAATAATGAACGACAATACAATTTTGTGAGACATTTTAGAGCGAGCGCTATTAACGCCTAACATTGGCGCTACAGACGCTTAGTAATAAGGCGCTATACAAGAAGCAATCATTATGAACATCATCATCAGATTGATGCATATTTTGCACGATTGGCTACAAGCAAATTGTTTAGATTGTAGGACATTATGTGTACGAGTTCTATATAACTTATCAATGTTGTTATTGATATGCAGGGGTAAACTCTTAACATTAAAACTTTAGCTTGTCTTTCAGCTGCTCTATATTTATTCGATCATGCTATTACTTTATTAGACGAGTAAGTTTCCCTAGACTAGACAAATAAATACATTATGACAGGCATATTTTGGTCAATATCTATTTACGAGAATTTACATGGGGATGCGGTATATAAAACAGATATTGACTGCTTATTTTTCGGGCGGGTAAAACTAGAGCTCCTCGGTGACCTCAAGACTGCACTATGCCCTTCTACTGCGTCTAGGGTCACATCACATTTTCGAGATCACATTAGACAATAGTTTTAACCTTCCCCCATAAAAGCAGTCAATGTATCCAACACATCCAACTAGTCAATATATATTTTTATATACCTCACTTAAGAAATCCATCCATCTGATTGGTCGAAATTGCAGTCATAAACTTTAACTATTCCTGTAAAATTCCCGGTAAAATTCCAGTTACCATGGTTACCGGGAAAATAGTTCAGTCTTGGTGAAATACCTATAGGTTCACATGTTAAAAACTGGTTTGAGCGATCGAGGATACCGTACGTGTGCGAAGAATTGGTCGGTAATTTAAAAACGGAAATCTCGATCGTACTAAATTCCAAACCGAAGGCAAAAATGGCTGAAGAAACTCTCCCAAGATTTCAACTTCTTGATGATGATCAAATGCAAGACTTGCTGACAGTAAGAGCACCAAAAAGGGTACGTTAAATTCTCCATAATTTTTTTTCAAAATAGATCTAGTAGGCCTATAGATTCTAGTAAATAGGTCGAGTAGTGCTAAAATCCTTCCCGTAGAGATTGCACACATCCCTATGCATTGACCATCGCGCACTCATGCTAAATTGGTCGATGTTTTAATTACCAGAGATTCAAACTAATATTGCTCGTGATTCTGAAGGTGATACTCAATAAGTGAGGTGTCATATGAAAGCGCAGGTTTTTCTCCATATTCCCCACACCCCCAAAATTGAAAAAATATCTTGCTTAGACTAGAATCATAAGAATCTAGATCTAGTCTACTCTCAAAGATACACTCATAAAAAACAACCGTGCAGATAAACTAGAGAAAGGCCAAGGTGGTGTCATAAATTGACTCTTTTTTTGGCATATAAAAGTATTAATGACTGCTTTAATATTCGAGAAATAGCTGTTTTTATACGCTTTCGGGGCTATTGCTCTCGGCACGCCTCTGGCAATAGCACAATTCTAACCTTCCCTTGAGCTTATAAAAACAACTATTTCTCTCAAAGCAGTCATTAATACTATAATAGTATTTCGAACTAGCAGTGACTAGTTCACAAACTTACAAATATTCTAGCCGACTCAGATTCTGGAAAGTCCCCGGTTCGATGTATTCCAGCGGGTTGTTAGTGAAATCCCTGAAGGAAAAAAGGTGCAAAACAGCCTGGATTAAATGATAATATAATCTCGCGTATTGCCACGTCTCTACACTCAAACTTTGGGTCATTAAGTGTTTTAATAAGCAATCAGATGATAATCATTATCATCATCATCATCATCATCCTCATCATCAACATCACCGTCATCATTACTTGGAATGTTACATTCTTTCCAAATCAGTGATAATTCACGCATTGCTATTTTTCTCCTGTCCCTCTTATATCACAAGTGAAATATTGAAAAGATCTGCAGCTGTGGACATTACCCACAAAGTGTCCTGTCGAAAAAAATAATTTAAATATTAATTATTTCATATTCTAGCATTGAATTCCTATGAAAAACATTAAAATAATTCGTGCTGGGGTGGGAAGAAATGAGGAAAAAAATACTGTATCAACTTACACGAAGGTGAGATTTGATTGATCATCAAACATTCCCTTCCTTAATTCTCTGATTGAATTATTTGACAGGTCACTGTGAAGGAACGAGAAAGATCAGAAAACATGCGGCAAACGATAATCAATCATTCGATAGATGTAAAATAATTGAAATAACTTAAATTATTGATGAAAGAGAAAGGGTGACAATATTTCATTATTTGGTTTCATAAAAGCATTTAAAAGTACATCAATTAGTCATACGGCGTACGGCGGTAAAGTAACCTGTATTTATCATGTCATACCTCAGTCAAACCACCAAACCGACATCAGATCGACTCCAAACCGACCCATTATTGGTCATATATGTAAATGTAATATTTTTGTTCGCTCTTTTGTCGGTCATGTCGGTATATGACTGAGGTATCAAGACGACTGCCCGAGGACAACTTTCCCGTCTGTCACTTACCTAGGAATAATTCAATTAGAGGTTACGTAGTTATCTGGGTATTTTGGTCTAGGGGTGGTCTAAATATCTTCTTTTCCTGTAACTACTGCACAATGGTGGCTCAACAAAATATTTATCCCCTTTAAGTGTCGAATGAACATGAGATATACTTACATAAAATTCAGAGTATCAAGTCCTCTGAAAGCATCAATATCAATGTTGGAGATTTGGTTGTCGTGAACATGTCTGTGGAAAAAAGGATACGAAGATTAGTGACAGCATTATTCGACATCGTTTTCAAATCTTTTCGGGGGTAGTTCAACTTTTTTTTTTAATGGTATTTTGCAAAAAAAATCTTGTCAAAATTGTTAAAGTCCATTTAGATTATTCAGTAATAAGTTAATAAATCATTACGAGAATTGATTTGGAATTAAAAATAAAATCATTATCAATTTTCTCTAGCTTCTTCTGGTTCAAGTTCAAGTTCGTTTTATTTAATATTTTCATTAAAATATACAAAGGAAAACAAACATATAAAAGTTGAAATATAATACATGTGTAAATACATATAACATGAGAATAACACAAGTGGAGAAGACATGAGGAACAAGGGGAAAACATTCTATTACATGTACATTAAAGGCAGTATTTGGAGACTAGACAGGAAGGCCGGGCTTTATGTAGAAGTCTTTCGTCAGTAATTGCATACGAAACTAAGTACATTATTTAGATTTTTTATTTGTTATAAAAGGAAGAAAAGGGAAATAATTTGCATTCACACATACACTCTTTCCCATACACACCAACACACAATTTTCTGTCTGATGAACATTAAAGCCCAAGTCCACTCCAAAAATAACTCACTTTCAATAGAAGCAGAAAAATCAGACTAACCATTCAAAAAAAGTCTGAGCAAAATCGGATAACTAATAAGAAAGTTTGAAAATCACTAGACATATTGACAACTCACTCATGAGACGGTGACGACATGTCCTCACTATCCACTAGATTATTTTCTTTCTAATGATGATATAAATTTCCAATTTTCTCCTTAAGAATCTTATTTCTTCACACCAGCATCCAAGTTAGATTGATAGTAATATGTTTAAGTGTGGATGCACTAAAATATAGAGTAATTTTTCCAGTTAACCATGAAAAATGTGAATTTTGATAAACTATTTACATAAAAATCAATAACTTATGAATATACAATATTCAGAAAATAATATAAATTCGTCAAAGCTCATAACATTTTTTGTGAAATGTCATGCACGCAATATGATACAAATCATATAATCTGGGCAAAGGCATGGGGAAATCAAGTTTTGGGAATAAAAAGGGAAATTAATGGGATTAAACCATACAGAGCAATTGATAAATAGTGAGGGCATGACGTCCCCTGACGTCACAAACTTATTACCATCCTGGCAATTTGTGTTGTGATTCTCATTGTTCCATATTTGTACATACTTTTTCTAAAAATCATTACTTTCATATTAGTCATCCGATTTTGCTCAAACTTTTTTTGAATGGTTTATTTGATTTTTCTGCTTTTATTGAAAGTATGTTATTTTCGAGTGGATTTGTCCTTTAAGAATATAGGTTATTACACTAGTA